GCACTTCCACCAACAATTTTAAAATTTTCTTTGTTTCGTCTGATAGGTGAGATCGCCACCAATAATATAAAACAATTTTCACAACGATACCACCAACCATTCCGGAGATATTGCAAAACAGGCACTTCCACCAACAATTTTAAAATTTTCTTTGTTTCGTCTGATAGGTGAGATCGCCACCAATAATATAAAACAATTTTCACAACGATACCACCAACCATTCCGGAGATATTGCAAAACAGGCACTTCCACCAACAATTTTAAAATTTTCTTTGTTTCGTCTGATAGGTGAGATCGCCACCAATAATATAAAACAATTTTCACAACGATACGACCAACCATTCCTGAGGTATTGCATAAGAGGTACTTTCACATAATTTTTATTTTTTTTATGTTTTCACGAAAGTTTTTGCCTTCAGCTTTTTATATCTCTATGCTTTCACTTTTTTTTGTGCTTTTTTTTCAGTTTTTTCTATTTTTTCTTTTTTTTGCTTGTACACTTATATATATTTATATTTTAATTCTATATACTCTGTTTTTATTATGATAATATTTTTCGTTGTTTTTTAATTTTATCATTTTTATCAAACGTTCGTTCTCAATTTGGATTTTGCATTGCGTTGTCCTCTGTAAATTTCTTACTGTTGCTCTATATAATACACATGTCACGAACAGAGTTGAGAGGTTACAGGGAGTGTTTTTGTATAGCCAGACTTAGGTTAGGTAAGCAACCAATTTGAATAAATCTACCTTTGTCAACATTAAGAGACTTATTCCACGAAACTTTCCATTCGTACAAATCGTTTATTATTCTAAGATTGGCGCTGAAATATAGCTTTCTTCAGTCGGAGAATAGAATTTATAAACCATTTTTAAGTCATCTATGAAAAGGACGGTTTACCATAAAGGGGAAAGAACACACGTCTATGATAAAAAAGAGAATCAGTAATGGACCGACCACATTTCCTTGTATAACCCAACTAGCTATATTCAACCATCATTCATCATACCAATCTGAACTGAACAACTTCCACAACCCAGCACTTATGATTAGCATGTAATCACTAGGGACTGAACATGGATTTGGTGAATTGCGGTGAAGATCGATGATCATTGCAGTTGAACCGTGACAGTCGTGATAAAGCTACTAATGAAGACAATAGAGGAAAGAGGAGAACAATGGCGGATTAGCTAAAGTGGGAAATAAAAAACAGCTAGAAATGACCTCAGTCGTGAGGAGGTTAGGCATCGACGCCTTGGAAATAAGAAGTTTGATTAAAGTCGACAGTGTGCTGACTAAATCACTAATACATAAAGCTAATCGACAAATTTGTCTGCAACCCGAAAAGCTTATTTCTTCATGCAGCCTTTCTTCGACAAGCCAAAGTTTCTCAGCTGCTAAGTCTTAACGGTCCAACCAAAAACGACGGCGATCCCGCAGTGCTTGTCAGAACAGTATTTTTAAATATTTCAACCTTCACATTCAAACTACATTGACGAGAGCTTCACTTGGAACCTAAGAGGAGTCCCAGAAGCGAGCGTTAGCGCTGGGACTCGTATTTCAGAAACTGAAGCGTCTAAACAAGGACCATATATGTTTGTGTGGATACATGCACATGCAATCAAACAATGCAACCAAGGGTTATGGAACATGTGCCTAGATGGCCTTGAAACCAGTTGGTGTCAAATGTTCTGATAAACGTGAGAAGTAAAAAACCAGGTTCATCGATAGCAAAGCACAACTGAAACGGGGCATAGAATCGACATCAATACAGCTTTTAAAATTACATAAGGAAATTGCCAAGGACGAATTCTTAGACTTGCAGAAGCTTTGGTTATTAGCAAATTCAAACCCCCTTTATTTGCACAGAAACAAATCGTCGTAACCTTGAATTTGCCCTGGTAATCCCAAAGTTATTTTATGGCCTAGGATAATGAGACAATTTCCTGTTCGTTCCATACTGTGTTAATTTTCTTTCTCTGCTGTTTACATTTATCATTTTGTCGACTTGAACTCTCCCTTATTTGACCCTTATTAATTTTCACATAAAGTGCCTTAAAAAGCATGTGTGTGACTAGATTGTTATAGAGCAAATAAGTTACACTTTTCAAGTCAATTTCGTCTTCTCAGTATTCAACCAATACTTAGACACTTTTTCTGCACCGGACATGGTTCACTCTGCTATACAGAGAAAAGCGGTCTCGATCTTGACAACACCGCTTAATGTGATGTTTTCATATTCGCTAAGCCAGAGCACGGCTACAGAAAATTGGGAGCTGGGGCACATTACACCAATTTTCAAAGGAGGCCAAAGCAATGGGTCTTTAAGCTACTGGCCGATAGCACTTCTCTTAACACCCTTAAAGAGTCCTTGTTATACGAGGGTCTACGCGACTACTGGTTATCTACAAACTTATTTTTACCACAGAATCACGGTTTCGGGAAGGGGCACTCTTGTATAACAAATCTGCTGACTGCGGTGGACAAATGAAAAACCATCCTTGGTCGCAAAGGGAAGATTGATATGATATATCTTGACTTCTCAAGAGACTTGACAGGGCCAACTATATATATCTCATAGATAAGTTTAAACTGTTAGGCGTCAAGTCACTGTTGACAGACTGGCTTACTTAATATCGAAATAATCGACACAATGAAGTTTAATTTTCCCCAGGTTACAGAATGTTCTAGTGGGAGCCTCCTGAGCCTGATACTAGAACCTAATCCTTCTACTTCACATAGGTGGCTTCCTCCAGCAAGTATCTTATAACGACGTTAAACTACGGAAAGAAGTTTGCAATAAAGATGATAAGCTGGAGCTCCAGAAGGATACAAATCGACTTTCAAGCTGAGCGGATAACACCTGAATTACTTTCAACACTTCAAATTGTAAAGTAACCAGAGACATGTTGCAGATTACGCATACAACTTGAACAACGCCTCTCTAGAGGCAGCCAGTGTTGAAAAGGATGTATGAGTCTTGGTACCCCATGGTTTAACGTCTTGTGTTGGCTGTGGAAAAAGTGCTTTTCGATCGGACATTGCACCGGGAACGTTGAAGCGCATTTTTAGCCAGTTTGACAATACAACTCTCCACTTAATCGCTAACAGTTGTATTCGGAGTATGGAAAGTGTTTCCTCCTTCACTCCAAAAGCATATGAATACACTGGAACGTACCTGAAGGCAAGCTACGAGAACCCAAATCCAAACCTTACGAAGAGCACCTCAAATTACTGGACGTTTATCAATTAGAGTATAGGCTTCTAAGAGGTAACTTTTCAATAACTTGCAGCATCCTAACTACTCAAGACACTTAAGTAGTCTCAACACAAATCTTAGGGACGATATCCTCTATTTTGACCACAATCATTTGAACATGGACCTGCTACTATCTAATCTGAACGAGCTCTATATTACCAAGTGATATTGGAAAAATTTTAAATTAGGACTAAACCTTACCTCATCTTTTAAAAAGGCACACGTATTCCCACAAGAATGACACTGGCGTGGCTCACCGAATCTGTTTCTGTAGTGTAAGCACCTCTGGCAAACCAAGGCGCTCCCAAAAGCAGTTTTTAAATTGCATATGGAACAAGACTGAGGCTCTCCGTACTTGCTTTTAAGAGATTGACAGTGTGGGCAGATACCGCCGCAACTTAGGAAACCCCAAGAATAAACTGCATTTTCGTAACGTACACCTATAAATTCAGGTTCAGATTCAGATTTGTGTAGTAAGGACAGAAAGCCTACGGCCTATGTTTTTCCTTTTCTAGTATGCTTTTGTGCGTGTCCAGTCTTCTCTTGAAAGATTCAATTGAAGGTGCGGACACCACTGCTTCAGGCAGCAGGTTCCAAGTATTGATGACTCGGTGTGAAAACCTGTATGCCACGAGTATTTTGTTCGTTCTTGGCTTTTCTACTCGCCTGCTATGTCCTCTGAGGTGTCCCGATCTAGTGGGGAGAAAGAGAGAGAATAAGTTAGGTCCGAAATCATTTCTCAGTATTCTGTACATCAAAATCAAATCTCTTCTTAGTCTGTGATAGGACAGAGTAAAGAGGTCCAGTTTTTCAAGCCGCTCTTTGTATGAGAAACCGAAATTGCACGGGTAGCTGCCCTCTGTACTTTTTCTAGTATGTCCGAGTCACCTTTTAAACAGGGGCTGGCAGCCTGAACGCAGTTCTCTAGCTTAGTTCTCACTAAGGATGTGTATGCTGTGGTGAAAATGGTAGTATCTAACTTAGTGAATGTCACTTTTAAAGCCCAGAGGGTTCGAAATCCCTTAGCTGAGACCTCCCGGCAATGGGCCGTCGTCTTAAGATCATTACTCACTGTCACCCCTAGATCCTTATAAGACCGGACTACTGGTAATGACACATCCCCTATGTTGTACGTATTAACCTTTGAATCCCCCAAGTGCATGTAGACACACTTTTCCGAGTTGATAGGTATCAGCCACTTCTTAGATAAGTTTATCATATTATTATTCGGCGTGTTGTGAAGAACGAATTCATGATTTTGAAAACTATTCATCAACTCTGTGCTATGTGGTGCCAGTTTACTTCTGTGATTAAAGATGGTCTCTGGACTTTTAGGTAATACAAGAGCAACAGAGCGACGTTCATTTTCCCAACCGCATCTCAGTGTATAAGATTATGGATAGCGGATCAACCTTTATTATGGCACTATAATTGATAGTGAAAAAGAAATACTTTGCATGCTTGTCTAGACTTGAACATTTCAGAAATCATAGAAATCAGATTAGTTGCCCATTGAATGGCGGGAACATGTGAAGGGTGTCACTTCTGGACGTTCCGTTTATTTGAACGTTGGTTTGAGTTTCGGGTGTAAGTTGTCTCGTATAATCTTACTGGGAGTCCGATTGTGCTCGTTTTGTTGTGTTGTAGATCATAAAGCATTAGTTATAAAGTCGCTTACTAGAGTTGCTGATCGACCACATACCAACAACAGTGAACTCAACACCCTTCAGTGCAATCATAATGGATCAACCTTTATTTTCTTGCACAAAATGCCTGCAAAATTTCCCACAGTCTGAGATGTCCAGGTCTGGACAAGCATGCAAAGTATTTCTATTTCACTATCCATTCTAGTGCCATAATATTTAGAGGTGCAGTCCTCACCACTCCACATTCAAACAATGCGAATATTGCAAATCTGACTTTAAATACAATGTGTAAGTTGCCGAAACTCAGTTTATTTTTGGGTTTCCTAAGTTGCGGCGGTATCTGCCCACACTGTCAATCTCTTAAAAGCAAGTACGGAGAGCCTCAGTCTTGTTCCATATGCAATTTAAAAACTGCTTTTGGGAGCGCCTTGGTTTGCCAGAGGTGCTTACACTACAGAAACAGATTCGGTGAGCCACGCCAGTGTCATTCTTGTGGGAATACGTGTGCCTTTTTAAAAGATGAGGTAAGGTTTAGTCCTAATTTAAAATTTTTCCAATATCACTTGGTAATATAGAGCTCGTTCAGATTAGATAGTAGCAGGTCCATGTTCAAATGATTGTGGTCAAAATAGAGGATATCGTCCCTAAGATTTGTGTTGAGACTACTTAAGTGTCTTGAGTAGTTAGGATGCTGCAAGTTATTGAAAAGTTACCTCTTAGAAGCCTATACTCTAATTGATAAACGTCCAGTAATTTGAGGTGCTCTTCGTAAGGTTTGGATTTGGGTTCTCGTAGCTTGCCTTCAGGTACGTTCCAGTGTATTCATATGCTTTTGGAGTGAAGGAGGAAACACTTTCCATACTCCGAATACAACTGTTAGCGATTAAGTGGAGAGTTGTATTGTCAAACTGGCTAAAAATGCGCTTCAACGTTCCCGGTGCAATGTCCGATCGAAAAGCACTTTTTCCACAGCCAACACAAGACGTTAAACCATGGGGTACCAAGACTCATACATCCTTTTCAACACTGGCTGCCTCTAGAGAGGCGTTGTTCAAGTTGTATGCGTAATCTGCAACATGTCTCTGGTTACTTTACAATTTGAAGTGTTGAAAGTAATTCAGGTGTTATCCGCTCAGCTTGAAAGTCGATTTGTATCCTTCTGGAGCTCCAGCTTATCATCTTTATTGCAAACTTCTTTCCGTAGTTTAACGTCGTTATAAGATACTTGCTGGAGGAAGCCACCTATGTGAAGTAGAAGGATTAGGTTCTAGTATCAGGCTCAGGAGGCTCCCACTAGAACATTCTGTAACCTGGGGAAAATTAAACTTCATTGTGTCGATTATTTCGATATTAAGTAAGCCAGTCTGTCAACAGTGACTTGACGCCTAACAGTTTAAACTTATCTATGAGATATATATAGTTGGCCCTGTCAAGTCTCTTGAGAAGTCAAGATATATCATATCAATCTTCCCTTTGCGACCAAGGATGGTTTTTCATTTGTCCACCGCAGTCAGCAGATTTGTTATACAAGAGTGCCCCTTCCCGAAACCGTGATTCTGTGGTAAAAATAAGTTTGTAGATAACCAGTAGTCGCGTAGACCCTCGTATAACAAGGACTCTTTAAGGGTGTTAAGAGAAGTGCTATCGGCCAGTAGCTTAAAGACCCATTGCTTTGGCCTCCTTTGAAAATTGGTGTAATGTGCCCCAGCTCCCAATTTTCTGTAGCCGTGCTCTGGCTTAGCGAATATGAAAACATCACATTAAGCGGTGTTGTCAAGATCGAGACCGCTTTTCTCTGTATAGCAGAGTGAACCATGTCCGGTGCAGAAAAAGTGTCTAAGTATTGGTTGAATACTGAGAAGACGAAATTGACTTGAAAAGTGTAACTTATTTGCTCTATAACAATCTAGTCACACACATGCTTTTTAAGGCACTTTATGTGAAAATTAATAAGGGTCAAATAAGGGAGAGTTCAAGTCGACAAAATGATAAATGTAAACAGCAGAGAAAGAAAATTAACACAGTATGGAACGAACAGGAAATTGTCTCATTATCCTAGGCCATAAAATAACTTTGGGATTACCAGGGCAAATTCAAGGTTACGACGATTTGTTTCTGTGCAAATAAAGGGGGTTTGAATTTGCTAATAACCAAAGCTTCTGCAAGTCTAAGAATTCGTCCTTGGCAATTTCCTTATGTAATTTTAAAAGCTGTATTGATGTCGATTCTATGCCCCGTTTCAGTTGTGCTTTGCTATCGATGAACCTGGTTTTTTACTTCTCACGTTTATCAGAACATTTGACACCAACTGGTTTCAAGGCCATCTAGGCACATGTTCCATAACCCTTGGTTGCATTGTTTGATTGCATGTGCATGTATCCACACAAACATATATGGTCCTTGTTTAGACGCTTCAGTTTCTGAAATACGAGTCCCAGCGCTAACGCTCGCTTCTGGGACTCCTCTTAGGTTCCAAGTGAAGCTCTCGTCAATGTAGTTTGAATGTGAAGGTTGAAATATTTAAAAATACTGTTCTGACAAGCACTGCGGGATCGCCGTCGTTTTTGGTTGGACCGTTAAGACTTAGCAGCTGAGAAACTTTGGCTTGTCGAAGAAAGGCTGCATGAAGAAATAAGCTTTTCGGGTTGCAGACAAATTTGTCGATTAGCTTTATATAGTACTGAAGTCTATCTTCTCTTGTCGTGCTTGTGCATCAGTTTATTGCTTGTTTGTACTGCCTATATATTTAATGTCGTCACTAGTCCATTTTTATTCCTCTCAGTATTAGCTTTAATGTTTTACCACTCTAATAGTGCGACTATTTATGACTGTGGGTTGCTTGTAACTTTTGCAAAAAGTTCATCTAAACAATCGAACTATCTATTTCAATAAAAAGGTATTAACACATTGTTTTATGTGTATAATAGCTTTTTTCGTTAATATGAAGGCAGTATCTAATTGATAAACCTATGCCTTTACTCATTATTGGTAGCTAAATTTATTAATTATTTTGTGCTCATTGTGACTTGACGTTTTTTTTTCCGTCATTTTTTAATGCATCATTCTTCACTAAAATTACTGTTGAGACAATTTTCCAATCCGTATATTTTGTCCTCGTTTATTTGTATAGGCCAGTCGAGAGAAAGTTGATGGACAGATTCTTTGTTGGGTGTGTACATACAATTTCAAATTAGCTCGATCTAAAGAACGCTCTATTCATGGATTCAACAAACGTCGACATGATGGTTATCAGCTTTCGACTGAAAACCGTTCGAGATCAAGTCATAAGTAAGCCGGCCACTTTCTTTTTCCCCTCACCATGTAATTAAAGTGCTAGAACTCAGGTTCCTGGTTGATTTCAATAGTATTTTACAAAGCTCTAAACATCAAATCAATAAATAATGTCAATCTCGAGCTCTTTTAGAAATCGGTAGATAAATATGTAGCAGTGAATTGTTTCTTGATTCATTTCCTGTATTCATGAATAGTTCACGGTTGCCTATGACTGTCTGACTGAATAGTCCATTGTTACAGGCACAAAGTTGAACCAAGCAAAATGAAAGAGGCGATTTTTTTTAGAATTTAAATGATCCCCATCCATTGATCTTGTGCTTAGATATCTACTTACGTCAAACAAGTACTGAAGGCTTAAATACTTTCTGACCTAACAACTACTAACATCATACCAACTGTAGACACATCAATCACTACTGAAGGTTAGTGGCTAAATACTGTTGCTTTTATTGGAATAATTAAGCTCAGATTATGTTTTAGTTCATATACATGTTTATCTTTGCTTTAATAAACATAGAAATTTCAACGAAAAGGTTGTTTTAAAAAGGGTTTTACTAGGTGGAGGGGCTGATAAAACGCAGTCGTTCATATAACTTGGGTGATAGTACAAGAATTTCCAGAATATCTCTCATCCACTGCGTCCAGAGTGTTACCTCAGAAGTGCTCTACTTTAGTTCTCAGTTTGGAAGTATGGTGAAGCAATAAAGTCATTTGGTCACTCCACTTTAAGAGTAATTAACTGGTGAGTTGGTGGTAGATGATATCAGAGAAAACACAAAATGCTCATCCTGCTTTTATCACTTTATACCAGTAATGACGCAGGAGAGATATCTAAATACCCAATATAAGACGAATATTTTATGAAGTCCGCACAATGCTCTTTGACTGGTAGGGATGTTTACCCAAGGCAGATATCTGTAAGTCACAAATATTCACGATTGTCTCTGAAACACCATCTCCTCTTTATAGATTGTCAGAGCATTCGGTGCTTGCCCGGTTACTATCTAGTGCGTCAAGTTTCGCCGGCTAAGATGAGAGTGGATCAAGGACCGATGCTGCCCAGACAAAAGCAGCCGCAGTCCACAACATCAATGAGTGATCTTCCGACCCGTGTGGGGAATTCCGGGTTTATTGTGTCTCATTCTATGAGATCGTGTCATATCGGGTTCAGTATTTCTATGTCTGCTAGAATGTTTATTTGATGACCCATGGGAATTTCTAAAAATAATATTCCTTAATTCTTTAAAATAAAAGGTTGGAAACTTAGTGTCCATATTTCGTTTTCTAGACAATTCACATAAACTTTTGAATTTTAGCTCTCTTAAAAAGACCTATACCGATGGCTTTGGAACAAGGCAAATTGACACGCAGATGCATGTACGACAGGCTTTAACTACTCAAGCACTAAGGTGAGTAATAGGCCATTGAGTAGGATTTATGTGTATATGCAGTCGGTAATTGTGTGGTCATATGGAATGGTAGTGACTTATGAGTTGGTTAAAAACTAAGCAGTTCCCTATGAGCGCTAACGCTGTCAGACGTACCAGGACAACACACCTGAGTTTGAATGTATTTAAAAGACTATTTCGGTTTCTCGAAATATTGTTAGTTTACGTTAAACTAATTCAAGGTAATGAACTCATCAATAACAATTAATCTCAACGCATACTGGCACAGATGTGTGGCTGAACAGATAAGAAGAGTGTTAACCAATAAGGAAATAGTTCACAATTGATAAAATGCAAGGTAATAAATTCTAGTTGCTCACAAGTAATATAGTTATAATACATACATTTCAAGAACCATATGCTGTGAAATACTTTCTCGTTAGAGATAAATGCACTGTTTAGACTAAAACGTCCTTGGGGATTGTATGAATACGGTCGGATCATTCAATGAGCTTTTGTTCGACCCATCAACGACTATATTTCTTCTAAACTATGTTTCTCATTGCTGTCTATGCTTCTTACTAACTCATTTGCCTAGTAATTAGAAATGAGCCGCGCTAATAATTTACTACTTGCTTACACAAACCGAAGTAGGTGAAGTGGGATTCAAATTCCCGACCAGAGATCCCTAAGCAAAACTTTCTTAGAATCTCCTTTCCAAGTTTGCCAAGTTCTCGACGCCCTGTGATCCTCGATTCGTCACTTTCCCGTTTGCCTGAGAATTTCAAGTTAGGACTTGCCTCTTGATTCAGTTCAATGGTTTCTACAATGTCTTACCCACCCAACGCTTTTTCTTAATTTCCTTAACTGGAAGTAAGTTTCTTCTCAGTCAGAGTATGTTATTGCTGATGGTCTCTAGCCAATGGATCCGGAGTATCTTGCGTAGACACCTGTTTATAAACATCTGTACCTCATTATGGTGGTTGTGGTAGTTCTCCAAGTCTCAGCTCTTTACGATATAAAACTGCTTTGACGTTAGTGTTGAAAATTGTGACTTTAGTGTTGAGTTCCAGATATTCTTCAGTTGTAGGAATGCTACCCTAGGTTTGTTGATTAGTGCTTTCACGTCCGAATCAGATCCTCCCTGTTTATCGATGTCGCTGTCTAAGTAGTGGGGGTTTCTACTTCTTCTAGAGCTTCGCCATCAAGTGTGATTTGGTTGGTGCTCATTGTTTTGCGTTTCATTATCTTTCTTTTTCTCTTGTGAATGTGTTATAGCCCAAAGCCGCCAATCAGAAGCAGCGAATTATCGAGTGGACCAAGGACGCGTAAAACACGTGCGAGCAGCCTAGAGTTCTGGTTGGTCCTGCTTTCCTTCTAGCCCAGCCAGTTAAGTCCAGAACATCAGTCTCAGCCTCGTTATATTTCAAACATACTGAGTTTGTATACCAATCAAACAGACGACAACGTAGCATAAAATAGAAAATAACATTTGTACAAAATATGGCCAAATGTGGCTGTGAATGTGGGAGGCGGTGACTAACAGACAGGGCATAATTCAAGAATGGTAAAACGTATAATAATGGTTCATAGGTCAAAGTAAATCTTATAATAAGAGGAACATGAATATGAATAGTTTAGTTATTTAACAATTATACGATAAAAATATACGTTTAGTATTGGTCCATAAAAGGATCCCAAAGTTACCATTCATTATGTTTCTCGGGACCTAACAGAATGTTGAGGTCTATTTCTGTGGAAGAGGCTAGTACGTTGGATATATTCGTCTGCATTTGTTTTCGTGTATGCAATCGGGGGTCTGAGTCATCTCCAAAGTCCATATCGTCCAGTTGTGTCCACCGTATTCCATGCTCCTCCTCAGATATAAGGGTTCTCATGATCCAGTCGACAGATGGCAGCAAGAAAATGGACGAAAATATGGAGCCTTTTTGACACCGGTCCTCAGTTGAAATACGTCTTGTAACTGTTCTCCACACGCAGCTTTGCAGTTCAATCCTTTGTGAAGGTTCCGTATGATGGTGACAATCTTCTTATTCTGCATTGACTGATGTCTTCCCTTCCCCATCTCTTAGATATTTATCAGGCTATTTGCATTCTTTATATCGATGCTTTTTGCTAACCACCACCTTTAAAGAGGGTTCACGTCGTTCCTGGAACAACTATTGAGGGATAAGTCTACTTCCGATTGCGTCCAAGCTATTGGCTTCCGTCATACTTCGTAGGTTGTTCAAAACCCGAGAAAGATTGACTCGCGAGAAGCAGGCTGGGTTTCGTTCTGGTCGAGGATGTATTGATCATATCTTCAGCCTCCGCCAAATGTTAGAACACCGCCATACTTATCAAAGGCCAACAATCGTAGTGTTTCTTGACATCAGGGCTGCCTTCGACTCGTTGGATAGGACTGTTCTCTGGGATTGTCTATTGAAGAAGGGTGTGCCTGAGAAGTTTATTAACATCCTAAAAGCCCTATATAAAAACACCTCAGGCAGAGTGAGGGCATACAACCACCTCTCTCCATTGTTCCTTTCGAGCAGTGGGGTTAGGCAGGGTTGCCCAATCTCACCATTTCTCTTCAACTTTGCCATCGATGACATTCTGGAAACAGCTCTGATGAATGTAAGTAATGGTGGTGTGGATCTGTTGCCTGGAGAAAGACTTCTCGACCTTGAGTATGCGGACGATATTGTCTTACTGTGCGATAATGCCCAAGGCATGCAATCCGCACTTAATCAGTTGGCAATCAATGTCCATAGGTACGGAATGTGCTTTGCACCTTCGAAGTGCAAAGTAATTCTACAAAACTGACAGGATCCTAATCCTGTACTCACCCTGGATGGTGAGCAGATAGAAGTAGTCGAGAAGTTCGTGTATCTAGGTAGCTGCATAAGTGCTGGTGGGGGTGTGAGTGATGAGATCAATGCACGTATAGTGACAGCCAGAGTGGCTTATGCCAATCTGGGCCATCTTTGGCGCCTTCGTGATGTAAGTCCGGCTGTAAAAGGTCGGATCTACAGCGCGTCGGTGAGAGCAGTTTTTCTCTATGCTTGTGAAACCTGGCCTCTCCGAGTTGAGGACGTTCGACGACTCTCTGTGTTCGATCATCGCTGTCTCCGAAGAATTGCTGACATTCAGTGGCAACACCATGTCAGTAATGCAGAGGTTCGGCATCGTGTGTTCTGGCGCAGATAATCCGATTGGTGTCACTATCTTGAAACACTGACTTCTGTGGCTTGGACATGTTCTACGAATGTCGTCCCAGGGAATTCCACGTCGAGCATTATTTGCCGACGCTGGAACTGGTCTCAAAAAGCGGAGAGGTAGTCAGTGTTTGACATGGTGTCGTAGTATGAAAGAAAGCTGCAAAGGACTGGCTTGTGTTGATCTTTCACGACTCCCTGGTTGGGGTCTGAGAGATGGTGCGACACAGTGGCTAGAGACGTTATCAGATATGGCTCAGAATAGAAGCCAGTGGCGATCCTGCTGTAACCTTCTTTTACTTTCTTCATAAACAAATGGTTGTTTCTTCTTTAACTGAATGATTTATTCCGATTGTACCTTTCCGTTTCCCCCATTATTACTATGATTATTATTACACTTCTTCACACTAGTCTGGTCGTTGTTGTTCCTCTTCGTCTTTTTTTCTTTTGCGCTCACTACCTTTGTTTCTCCCCATTCTCATTGTCTTGTGTGGCGCATATATATTTGGTTCCCCTTATACCAATATTCATGTGTTCAAATAAATAAATACCCACCACCTCCTAGTATGTTGAAGTTATTGCTTTTCAGATCTTTTTCCAGTCCTACACAATGGTTTCCACTTGTTCTAGTAGGCCTTGTAAGGCTTGGAACTAATTACTGTGAGCTATCATGAATTCACTGAATTTTTTAGTATCTCAAAAGACGCCTTATTGACTTTTTGTAGTGTTGGTTGTCCAACTGTCCAATACCTCCTTTGCCTTAGTTTTAGTTTAGCCACTACCAGATGGTGGTCTGCAGCTATACGAGTTCGTTTCTTTGTTCTTACGTCTTCTGATGCAGGTTTAATCTATCTGGTTCTCCCTAATGTCGTCCAATGGAGCACATGTGGCTCGATGCATATAGTTGAGAGGCAAAATGCTGCTGTCTATAACCACATTGTTAGAAGCACATAAATCCGCAAGTCTCACTACTCGTTCCATCCTCCGAGTCCGTGTTGCCCCATAACGCTTTCCTATCCTGTGTTGTCCATCACGATACGTCAGATTCCCTATCAGGATGGTCAGGTATTTTCCTTAGCAGTCCTCTTCGAAGGACTGCAGCCTCCCATAAAACTGATGTTTATTTTCGCTGCTATCATTGGTAGATGCGTTACACTGAATGACATCCCTTGCAATCCATTCTTTTATTTTGAAGAGTGCTTTGGTGATCCTAGAGCCATGAGATTTCCATCTTATAAGCGCTTTTTGTGCTTCCTTGAAGAACGTCAGTGCAGCTCCTTATTTATTTATTACTTATTAACTTTGATTCAGTAAACTTCTCTTACATCTTACACTGTTTATGGTTAGCATTACCTACTTACTTTACTTACACCTGTTACTCCTAATGGAGCATAGGCCGCCGACCAGCATTCTCCAACCCACTTTGTCCTGGGCCTTCTTTTCTAATTCCATCCAATTCTTGTTTATTTTTCTCAAGTCTATCTCCGTTTCCCGGCGTAATGTGTCCTTTGGTTTTCCTCTTTTCCTTTGGCCTTGAGGATTCCATGTGAGGGCTTGTCTTGCGACGCAATTGGGTGCTTTCCTCAATGTGTGTCCTATCCACTTCCAGCGCTTCTTCCTCCGCTGGGATCTGGTTTATTCTTCCCCACACTTGGTTGGTGCTAATAGTGTCCTAAAGGTCTAACCCACAAGGCAGTGGAGCATCGTGAGGAGATGCAGTCCCATGGTAGCCAGTGACCAACGATTAGTCCATACTCCGTTTGTCCCCTCAGGATACTGGAGCCCATGTGCACCATTGATTTGGTTTGGAATCCGGTTAAAGCGCCGGACATTCGCTTTTCGTCCTCTCATTTTCGTAAACAACACCACCACGAGAATGCAGCGAATAGGACTTCCCTAGTAGAGGCTGTGTACGCGTGACCATACCAGGGCATTTGCGGGCGCAGCTGCTTATGTGCGCAGACCATTTTATTCTTCATGACTAGAATATAACAGCATATCCCCCGAAGCTAGTCCTTTCTGTCCGGTTTTTGTCGAATAGGTTTAAGCCATTCCAAACACATCCGCTACTTAAATCCCTCTCCCACTTCCCCACATTGTCCGAACATCCCGTGTGCCTACATTAATTGTTGCTCCTGTTATCAGAAAAAGGGTTATTCTTGTGTGGTTTTATCCTGCTCCAGTATATTTAGTCAGGGAATACCGGTTATTCAAGCTGTGCAAAAAGATTTCGCTCATGTAAATATGATGGTTATTAGCAAATACAAAAAGAAAAATATCAACTCACACACTTGTAAGTTTACATTCGTTTTGTTGCCTGAAGTCATGCTAAGACTTGCTAAATTAAACATCTTCAAAGATAGTTTGATTATAATACCAATTTTTTATTTATTTGAGTCTGCATTATAACCGTAGCCATTAAAAAAATTAGATGAAGTAATTAGTCCCTTAGATAAATTCCGATAGTGTAATAAGGATACGAATATTATCAGAAGTATGTGACATATTAGCGCAAACATCCAGAGAGTGAGAAGTCACGCGTTGCGTTTCTATACCGCTAGTACGTTTAAGTAGCGTTCCAGACCTTTCCGGAAGCCCAGGGCAATTTAAAATGCCATAAATACCCTAGATTTTTTGTACATAGGCAAACCTTGGAGTAAAGCGTTTATTCCATATTTCTCTCGTTTTAAATCGCTGTGTAGATTTAGCCTGGGGATTACTAGAAGAGCTTAAGTACCGAATCTAGCATTCAATTTGAAGACTTATCAGTCAGGTTAAAATTAAGTTTCTCTATGATATTAAAATCTGAATGCCATGTCTATCCTAGGTATCTTAATCCCCCTCTTGATATTATTCATATTTCCACATTTACTTAACCCTATTTTCATTAATTTAGCTTAGATTCTGTGTACAATGAACACTTACTTACTATAAGCCAGTTACAAGATGAGATCAAATCACTCAAACGTCAATTAACAATTAAAGACTCTGACTTGTTAACCAAAGATCGCACAATAGCAGAATTACGCTCTGAAATGATTGAAATAAAATCAATGAATGAAGATCGTGTCCGAAAAATAAAATCAGCTGCACAGCTTGAACAAGATCGGCTGCTAGTAAGTCGGTTTTCTTCTCAACTGTGTAGTGCATTGATTTTCTCAAATATATTTTTTACTAATCAAACTTCTGATCCATGTGATGAAGCAGTCAGACTAAAAAAGAGAATCAAGCCGTTTGTTTTCTGTTCACTCAATTGTTTAGAATTTGAAATAATTATAAGCTTTTTATTTGGGATTTTTTTGAAATATTTGTACATCAATAATAAGTTTTGTTGTATTTCGGACATCATGGATACTTGCTTCCTAGTCCCCGAAAATCTAGCTCTGTCGAACTGTAAACAAAAATTGCAGAAGGGTTACTTCGAACGTTAGGTTGTGAACAGTTTTTATATATTAAATGTTTCTGAAAACAAAACGAAGTTAGTAAAACAACTTTGTGATTATCTAATCAGAATAAGGAAACGGCGATTAGCTGATTCCTAGATTTTTCTGGGAAGTTTCCAACAAGCGTTAGTTGGTTAAAGCACTTTCGGCTTTTTCCCTTGTCTCTGGAGAACTTCGTAAAGAACAATCGAAAACTACCAATTTTAAACATGACTAATTTTTTCACTCAGCATTTGACCGTACTTTGTCTCCTTTTTTTCCAGGCTACAATACGTCAGTTACAAAAAGAGAAGGCAATTATTAGTCATAATATTAAACGTCGTAAAATTAATAACAATCTCTCAAAAATTACAAACCGAAATTCTTTGTCTTCGACAACTTTATTCAATCCAGATTCACCGCTTACTTTGGGCTTTGCGAAACGAGTTTCCAAGCCTCCAGTACTTGAAAGCCAAGATAAAGAACGCGGAGGCGAGGAAGCATTGTCTTACTCAGATCAAATATCAAAAAATACACTGGACTCAACAAGTCGTTCAGTGAAAAGACAACTTACACCTGACTGTATTGGTGTACAAGTTTACGATGAAGACTCTAACTTAGCACCTCAACGTACAGTTACTTCTGGCATAAAACAAAACGCAGGTTCACCAGGTATTACTCCAAGTATATCATCCAAACCTCCTACAGATGATGAAGAAGCATCTCAACCGTATCAATATGATCCTCACGAAATATCTGGAAAAAACCCTCTTGGGTTGGATACGCCATCGGAGTCTGAAAATGAAACTCCGACTGAAGCTTTTCGTGGAATATCAATATTTTGACTCTTCACTTCTGTTTCACATAAAAAAGTGTAGATAATTACTGTTTTTTGTAACACACTACATCTGCATTTTAGTAAGGCGTTTAATTTTCAAGTGGTCTGTTTTTATAACGTCATTGTCACATTCATTTTTGCCTGTGTATGGTGGCTTGATTCAATCGTCCACACACTTTCTATACGGGAGGTATGACAATTTTGTTTGTTTTATTAGTTAGTTTGGGAGGAAGTTAAATCTAACTTCCCCTAAATATAGTGTCATATACTTGTATATTCAACTAAATGTATTATGTCTTTTCTGTGTTCTACAAACCATCTAGAATAATTAATTGTTTGTATATTATCTAGAAACAAATCAACTCACAATAAATTTATCAATTTCAGATTTAAAGCAATTAGTCCTTTCGATAGTTTTGATAATATTCATGTTCCTGTTACACCACCCATTGTGCAGATTTGTTTTTTTTACTCTTCATTGACCTGTCATAACACTGGTAATGCACTAATCAATATACATTGAAATTGGCTCGATTTATCAACTAACACAAAAGAGAAATAAATCCAAGGTTAGAGGTGAAAACACTTAAAACGAATACGCAAACAACGGTTACATCTATGGACAACAATAAACCGAATTGTAGGTTAACAGACCAAATAACTAGTCAGTCACGGAGAAACGCTAATCACTCAGGACTTATTGAAATATCTGCTGATGATGTTATCAACAAGACAATGGAGGCTTCACGATTAAACAACCTGATTCAGAGAACAGAACGCCGTCAAAAAATTTCCTTTTGAAATTTATTAGCATCTTCAAGCTATAAACAATCCTAATGTATAGTATTCACTGCAAAATATGTGGAAACAAAGAAATATATTAGTCACTTAATAAAAAAACTGGGAGTTGTACAAGAAATTAAAAGTAAACACTCATCAAATAATAGATGAGGATGATCAGTATTACAGTAAGATACGGAATTCAGGTTGTTATGATGAATGTTAAAGGACGATTGAAAAGCTGGAAGTAATGGACTGCCGTTTGGTCGTAGTATGGGACAGGTGAGCAGTACGCATTGAGGATCGTACACATGCGACTGGAATTAGGGACCTTAGGTCTAACGCGTCAACGCCTAACCTATTGCTCCAACGTCCACCATTGCATTCATTTACGACACGTAATTATTTTCTACGATTTTAAAACTTATTCATGTCATCATTTAATCCCATTGATGGTCAGCTATTGTTGGCATAGTCTTTTTAAGCAATTTCAGTGTCATTCTTTTTGCTCTAAGGAATTTCGTATACTGTCCTTTCCGGGTCGTATTCCTTTTTAGAAGTACGAGAAACGACTCTTGTTTGCAGGGTTCTGAAATTCCTAATTAGTGCATGAGAATGAGTATAATTTGAAGTCATGTGTAATTTTCCCACTTTGATTCCTTAATTCCCAAATTGTTAAGCGAAATTAAGAGGCCACAAGTATTCGGAGTTTGACAACACCTTAACTAGTAATATCTTTTATGATTGAAACGTACCAACACAGTGAAATCAGAAGTGAGTAGCCTCGAACATATATTCGATAAATGACTGATCTAGGCTGGCTAGCGGTTCTAGGAGAATTGAAGCACGGCGTACTCACTCGTGATCTGGTGCGGATGCATGACCGAGCGCCTTCAATCAGCTAAGTCCATTAAAACTAAAGTGGCTAGCGTCAAATATCGAAGACTTTCAGAGCTATTCATTTTGGGGATATATTACCTCCACAACAGTATTAGAATCATTTCCAGTGGTCAATAAGGATAGCTGACCCTAAGGCATTCTTAAATTTACTAGACCTAATATAGACGATCCACCCTCAGTATTGAGAAATTTATCATTTCTGATTAACAGATTACAACATTCAATAATAGAAAGTTTGCGACCAGTAATACTAGAAATGGGAACTTTAGTAAGCAGAATTATAGCACCAAGTTTTAATGGCTTCAACTTCCCAGTGAAAACGGACTGGACGCTGTCAATATCAACAATAACATCGAGAAAAGCACAACTGGACAGATATAATGGTTTTCAAATATTAAGTAGAAGTTGTAAATAAGGATAATATATGACGTAGAAGTTTACCGCAGGATAAACATCTTCCAAACCTGCTTTGTAATTATTTTTTGAATCACTCCTCATATTTCCACGAGAATAGAAGCCATTATCAAACAAACGCGATCCTGAGTGTAGTTCATCATGAGGACTGAATAAAGTTATAGATTTTCACCGACTGGAAATCCAGTTCATTTACTACCCTCTAGTTGATATAAGCAGTCCTAGCATCTTGAAGAGAACAGTTCGACGTTTGTGTATTGTGGTCATGTATCTTTTTGCAGTAATCGGAATCGGGAATAAATCGATTACTTTTCCAGTTGATTCACACTTCCTCTCGCGTACTTGTTAGCCAGTCAGGTGATAGAATGGTTTTCGTCTCCATCCAAGGCAGTTAGTCTCACTTCGAACTCACACGTTTTTAGCCTCAAGGTTGAACGAATCAACCTATCGTGTCAAGGTCTTAATCTAGATTAAAGCAAGTTATTTCCGGTATATTAGTAGGTAGACAGATCAAGATGTATACCTCAAAAAATGAGAACCAGGATACTTTCTCAGATGAGGGAATTAAGATTAGCATATCAAGATCCTGTTATTCATTATTGACAGCTTGAATTACTGTAGCTCAAATCCTGTTTATCTTCAAAAAATCCTTAAAGTCAAAATCACTATTTCAACAGACCTAAGTCCTATTATTTAATAAAGGAAGAATGGCATTATCAAGAAAATAATTCTTCATTAGCGAATGGACTCGGAAAAAAACGCTCAGTCGTAGTGAACATTTTATATATGATTTGCGCTTTCCCATTTGCTCACGTTTAAGGCTTGCACATGGAATTTGGTTCAGATAAATGACAACTTAGGAATTTATATTAATGGTGTGAAAAGCAAAAAAGAAGATTTGACAAACTACGAAAGCTATTCTTGGGGACATTATTTCATTAAATGCTAATCCTGTAAAACAGCAACATTTATCTTTGCCCCTAGTCTATTCTACAGATCATAAGCTTTCGCTTCATTTATAATTAACTGCCATAGCCTTTCCTGTTCCAAGGCTATTGTGATTTAAACGTAATCTCTTGTACTCTATTTTCCACTCTAATCCCCAGCTTCGGACATCCCTGTATTTTCGTAATTGTTTGGTTATTTATTCTTTGAAGAAGTGGCTTACACAATGTTATGTCCCGATAAGTATAATGAATGGTAACTGTTGGGATCTGTTAATGGTCAAATACCATACATATATTTTTATCGTATAATTATTAAATAACTAAACTATTTATATTCGTGTTCTTTTTATCATAAGCTTTATTTTGACCTGAACTATTATTATACGATTTGCCGTTCTTCATTTATGACCTGTCTATCAATTATTACCTCCCATATTCACAGCCACTTTTGACTAAATATTGTACAAATGTTATTTTGTATTTTATGATACGATGTGGTCTGGTTGGTTTGTATACAAACCCAGTATGTTTGAAATACATGATTCATATCGCAGAGGCTGAGATTGGTGTTCTGGATTTAACTGACTGGGCTAGGCAGGAAGCAGGACCAATAAGTACTCTAGACTGCTCGCACGGGCTTTATGCGTTATTGGTCCGATCGACAAGCCACTGCTCCCTAATTGGTGGTATCATCACATTATACATTAGTAGGGCACAGACTACAAGTTACAACAAGCTAAGTCACAAAACGTCAGGAAATCTAATTTTTCTACTCATCACGATATTACAAATACATTATTTATTTATAACAATCTACTCAATGCTCAATTTATTCGCTGAAAAATTCCCATTATATTAAAACAACAATTATTATTCAACACTCGCTATCAATGTTTTGGCAGGTATTGAGCAGGAACCGAATATGACTCTAAAAATGGTCACTACCGAGTGTCAACGGTTATTAAATCTCAAACATGATAGAGCGATAGTGCAACAGAAGGCGGAACCTTCCGATTTCGGTTTAATAAATGCACTCAGGTCCTTCAAATCTTCCAAACAAAGCGCGACAACTAGCAAACCACCGTCACCGTGTGGAGCATGACATTTTTTGAAATTATGCCCGTTCAAGGATCACAAATGCAACCGATGTCATCGCTTGGTCATAAAGAAGGCCACTGTTCATCAAATAAACGCCAGTCTAAATATCGTAGCGGAAATGAGAAGCGACAGCCACAGGGTCAAATCAAAAGCATCTTCGCAACTTTCAAGGTTGGATTTCCAAGTGAACGGAAGTAAGTAAACTTATTAGTAAATGGAAAACCTGGTTATAGTTCTCCCTTATTACAACCCAGATGTTAATAATAATAATTTATATTCTGAAAATAATAATTACAGAATTCACGCCAGTTTACAGGCATGACCAATTCGATATAAAGAGGAACATTAGATGTACAAAACAAACATGTGATAGAAGAACGTTTTAAGTATACAAGTTCACTAATTGTTTAGGTAGTACATGTATTACAATGATCCAATGCATCAGCCGGGAATTTTTAATATTTCCTAAATGGACAGCCTGTTGATTTATTAACGGAGTAATTAAGGTCAATTCGTGTGCCAGATCGAATTAATGATAATTATCTACAACTAGAGAAATTAAAACGAAAACAGAGCACGGAACAACAAAGCAGTAATTACCAAAATATGTCAATCAGGTCTACCTAAATGCGTGTGTCA